TAAAAGAGTAGCCCAAGAGTTGGCGGTGGGTGGTGATGACTAGCTGCCTTTCCTCTAGTGTTACACTGCTAAATTAGGGACGGCTAGCGCAGATAGCCCTCGTGTAGCTTTGCGTGAAATCCATAACAAAAAAAAATAAACAAACCGCCACGACTTCTGTTACATCAAACTCTATGGTATAAAACTATAAATATTTCTTCCAACGAAGAAACTTGCTGGATTTGGGGTAAATATTTCGGAACGAATCTGGTGTTGATTTTATTTCTACATTACCAGTTGTTCAGAGAAAATATTTAGATCATGCCCAGCAGTGGCTGTTTTTATATATATATATATATTTAATAATGCTTGCCTTTGAAGATTTTGGTGAAGTTTGACTTTCCTAATTCCATTGACAATTGTACATAAATAATGTAACTAGTCATTCAGTTCCTAGCGCTATTTTACATTTCTTTGTTACACTATTATTTATTTTACTGTGAAAGTTCCTAGCAAAGTGATAGGTGGAAGAGTCGTGAAGAGTTCTTAGAAACTACATTTGTTATATTAAGGTACGTTTTAATATATTTTATAAAACTTTGCACTTTGAAGTGACATAAATAAATTAGATAAATAAATATCGCCATCAGCAGCGAAGATCTTCATTTTATGTCTTGTGCTGCCATCTAGTAATAGTACAAAAAGCTAACATTATTGTTGATATGCTCACTCTCAATGCTTGTTTGTTTGTTTGAAGTTGAGCACAAAGCTACCCAATGGGCTATCTGTGCTCTACCCACTACAAGTATCGAAATCCGGTTTATAGCGTTATAAGTCCGCAGACAGACCACTTTGACACGGGGGGGGGGGACTCTCAAGGCCTTTAAGATAACACAAGTTAAATAAATAACAAGTTAAATCGCATAAACAATCATTCGTTGTCTCTTCTATTACATTAAGCAAGTTGCTATAGAATGAGAAGGTTTGTTTTGTAAACTAATGTCAGCATTTTTAATTCAGCTTATCGTTTTTCGTTTTTGTTTTTAACCTAGGAACATCGAAAACGAAAAAAGATTTTAATAGAATTTTACTGAAAAGAAGAAGAACATTGTTTAATCTGAATAAGAAAATTTCCTCTTCATTTATAAAATAAAAGCTTTGACTATAGATGACTAATTGATTAACCGACTAGCAAAACTCTTAAAATTGATACTAAGTACAAAAAGTAATCATTTAAAACATTTCCTGTAGCCTTTCCTAAATATCAATATTCCTTAGTTAACAAATTGAACAATGAAAATGAAAGCACAGATTATTTAGCATAGTCAGAAATGCAGTATTATTATTGTTGTAAAATAAAACCTATATAATTGTTAAACAGGAAATTATATAATTTGAATAACAAATACAAGAACGAATTTAAAGAGAAATTCTTCTGTTAGTTATCGTCACTACTAGAGCCATCTATGTTCGATATTTTATGCTGCTAAGAAAATATCTGTGAAGAATTCCTATATATATTTTTTCTTAAGTAATAAAATAGCTAATTAGTTAGGGTTCATGATTTTATTCTAAATCTGGATATTGCAGTTCTACTGATCGTAGTTTGCGATGTTGTTTCATTGTTTAAAGAACTAATTATTGTTCTCATTCACTTGTCACACTTTTATAAATCACTACCGCTCGTATTATATGAACATTCTGTTTTATATATTTTCATATAGATTCTCCTCCACACACTTTTCAACCCTCTTTTACTACACTAGTCTCTAGTTTTCAGGTATTTTTACATTTTAATAGTTAGTTGTTCATTTTCTATATTTACTGGATTATAATTGGTCATGGGTATTCACATAGGTTGTCAAACTTTTGACCTGAATAAATACCACGTCTACGCTAATCTGAAGTTTTAATATAGAAATACATATAATCGAAATTTTAATTTTAGAATTAGGGGTGACGTCTTGAAAAGTGCACAAAAGTTTTATTGAATTTGCTAATGTGAAAAAAAAAAATCTTAGTAGAAAAGTCGTTAAGACTACTTACTCTGTACGTGTTGGTCTTGCTTCGTTAAATGAATTATTCGATTCGAGTTATAGTGTAATTTTAGGTACTACTCAAAAGTAACAAGATTTTGTAAGATGAAATATTTATTTAATTGTTAAACCAGCACACGATCACGACTGATGCGTAGAAGTAATACTTTTATAACGTAAGCAATTAAAATTATCCAAAAACGAGTAAAACAATATCCTCACCCATCAATGGTGTTTCTGTATCCCCTCCAAACGTGGAATCGTCCTCAAACTGAAAAGTGGCCTTGAATCCTTGAGAGGGAAAATGACTTTGACTACGGAACACGATGTACAGTTCCGGACCTGTTGAAACAGTCTCCACAAAAGTGTTAATATTACAGAGATGTTCAATAACAGGGCTTTCAGCACTATCCCCATCGTGAATTTCTATATTATCTGGATCGTTAAGGCAACTGAAACAGTACAAAAAAAGATAATAATAATTTACTAAATAAAGATATACATTGAATAAACGATAAATAGCTAGCATTATTTGGGAATATATTCGATGAAACATTTGGATAGAACAGCCGTTATCGAAATTAAATAACGTTTTTTTTTAAACAACATGATACATTTATTTAAAATTCGAAAGTATAATATGTGGTTAGAAATCTTACAAAATCAGTGATAATAATTGATGAGTAAAGTAGAGTTTACGTTACCAAGACACTTTCTTTTACCTTAAATCGCTTTTCTGTAGATGAACTTGCTCAAATATGATCTTAACCCGTTCGTTTTGTCTCCCTATAAACTGGTAAGAGCATTCCACATCTTTAGGGTAAGTGCTGGGGTATTGTGGGGAGAAAAAGCGCCCCTTACTCTGATTGATTTTCTCACTTATAAACTTGTAGTCACACTTGGTTCCATTTTGGTGCTCCCCAACGGTTTGGAATAACGCTGGAAAATGATTATTTATTATTGCTTAAATATTATTTTTAAACGTAACTTAATAAAAAAAATTCTATTTTGATCTTCTTTTTCTGTTACTTGAATTGGAGGTTATTAATGTTTTTAATTTAAAGCTTTGATTACAGAAGTTTCACTTCTAAACTTCAACACTGCAGACACATTTTATTCAATAAATTCCAAAAAAATTATTAGCTCAAGTATAATCAAGACTAAGAAACCGGATTAATAAAGCTCCAATATTATCTCTTCACCATCAGCAAGTGCGTAGCTAAGAAACTTCAAAAGTGTGATATGATGTGATATGAGCAGTTTTGTTTGTTTTGAATCTCGCGCAAAGCTAACGAGGGCTATTCGCGCTAGCCGTCCCTAATTTAGCAGTGTACGATTAGAGGGAAGGCAGCTAGTCATCACCACCCACCGCCAACTCTTGGGCTACTCTTTTACCAACGAATAGTGGAAATGACTGTCACATTATAACGCCCACCACTGCTGAAAGGTCGAGCATGTTTGGTGGGACGGTGATTCAAACCCGCGACCGTCAGATTGCGAGTCGTGCGCCCTAATCATCTGGCCATGCCGGACCCACTTCAAAACTGAAGATATCGAATACGACTGCTAGGGGTGAAAACGAGGACATGATTCACCTAGAAAATTGTGAATTCTTTAAGTGAATTGGTGTATTGTCGTGGTATTTTTGGCAACAATTCACCAACGGTGTATACTTTCGTTTCATTGGAACTTGATTTGCACGAACTGCTGACTAGACGGTGCCTTAGATAATTTTTAAGTATACTGGGCAATACTTCAAGTAATTTTAATTTCATATTTCTGTCAAGTTCATCGTAGAATAATAGGTAAATAAATTAATTACAATAAAAGTATTATTGCTTTTGAGTATAAAAAAAAAGTTGCGGGCTCGAAGCTCACCCAAACCTAGTCGCCGTGTCTTTGAGCAAGACACTGTAGCCAAAATTAGCTTCAGTGTATCCAGCTAAAGCTATACTGTCATCCTGCCCAGGAAGAATCTGAAAACGTACTCGCTCCCTTGTGCCCTAGGAAATCGAAGTTAAGCGCCGCCCTAGAGTGCCTTTAAAGTAGATATGTTCAATATGAATTTGACAGTATATTCAATATATATTGAGGAAAAAAATGTTTTGATTTCTTCTTTTCTTTTTATGAGGCCCGGCATGGCCAGGTGGCTAGGGAGGTCGACTCGCAATCTAGGGGTTCGAATCCCCATCCCACCAAACTCGCTCGTCCTTTCAGCCGTGGGAGCGTTATAATGTGACAGTCAATCCCACTATTCTTTGGTAAAAAAAGAGTAGCCCAAGAGTTGGCGGTGGGTGATGATGACTAACTGCCTTCCCTCTAGTTTTACACTGCTAAATTAGGGATGGCTAGCGCAGATAGCCTGCGTGTAGCTTTGTGCGAAATTCAAAAACAAACAAACAATATTTTTATGGATTTTTAGAGGTATGTTTCGGATTCTATAATGATTCCTTTTTCAGGTAGGACATATCTTGAAGCTCATAATATCGAATAAAAACAAAGAAAATAAAGCAAAACTAGTCACGTAAGAACACGATCTATTGTCATTAACGCTTTAATTTCATTACTCAATAGCGCTTTTAAAAGTTAGAATTAAAAAAAAGATTGCCATTAAGTAGTGCTCTTCTCGTAAAACAAAATATATTATCTGGAAAAACCTCTAGAGCTGAGCAAGCCTATCATTGATTTCAGACGTTAAAGTAGATATTCGATCAAGACTTTCTTTTTCAGCAATAAATGCTGGAGGTATTTAGGAGTCGGTAAAGTTTTGCTGATTGTGAACATGACGAAGGTGATAAAATTGACTACATCTACTTTTCGTTTAATTAATCATTCATAAACCCATTGCAGTTTGCTTTGTGTAGTTTTTCAGTTATGGAAATAGTATATACTTAGTACACGACAGGAGCCCATGTGAAGTAAGATGAAAAGATACAGACTTTTATGACATTATTACGCGCCAGTAATCATAAATTGTAATTTACATCAGTGAGAGTTAACGAATATGTCGTGCAGCGCTAAGCAACTAAAAATGGCAACGTGGTAGATTTAATACGACGGCGTCACAATACATTTCGTTCATTTTTACCTAAAACTAGTAAACATATCTCTATCAAACTACATTACGTGTACATGAAAACCTCAGCATATTTAAGTGATATCCCTCTGGAACAAATTATTATTAATGTTTTTTGTTTTGTTTTTTATCTCAGAATTCTAAAATTGTTGCTTGTCATATTGATAACATCAGGAAAATATGGAGATTTATGCACTTTATATTTAAGTGATTTTGAACATGAAAATCAGCAATTTACGTGATGGCCACAGACGATATAAAATCGCGATCGAACGGCATGTATCAAAACAACATATTTTGACATTTTCTTGCGTTACGTAGTTACTGTAATGTTACCGACAATTGACCACTTTTTTGAAAGGGTTTTTAACAGCCTTTTCTGACGAAAGATATTCATACACTCAGATAACAGTGACGTGTTCAGATCGGAGATTTAGTATTTCCAAAGTAAGAATATCCCTTGTACTCATTCGCATTGGAAAATAAAGGAACATGGTTGAACTTAGAGAACTAGGAATATCCAAAAAGAGACCTTCAACGAGTCACACCCACAGCCGTGATAATAAAAGTACAGCATCTTGTACCAGATGAGATTCCACGAATACAAATGTCTGTAGCAAAAGCCATCCACTTGCACCAAACAATAGTATGTAACATAATTGAGAATGATCTATGTTTGGAAACGAGGCAAACAGGTATGGGCTCACCTAGATAATGCTCCTAGGCACGCGGTCTGTTCAAATGTCACGTACCTAAAGTAACTGGAGAACTAAATGATGTAGCAGTCAAGTAGTCAGACACACAGTGCCTATGGATTCATGTGCGATTTAACTCTTTAAACAGGTGTTGAGAAAGCGTCACCATCCTATGGAAAACCTGCAAGGAATAATGGTGTGTTTTTGACATGACAGCCTTATGAAGTAACATTTCGCAACAGAAACTACGCTGCAGGTCTATTGACAAGTTGTACAACCGTCAAATAAATCACGACTGGACAGGGCAACATAAGCTATAACGATGTGATGAGGCTCCAAAATCGTTTTATTATAACGTACTCAACCTGTGTGTTAGTTGATAATAAAACTTGTCCTGTATATCGCTACAGATTACAGTCACACAAAATAAAAAGGTTTTGGAAGGAGAGTCAAGTTGAAATATTTCAAATACAATTACCACGTCTGATAGCTATTGACAAGTTGTTAAGTGCTATATGTTATTATCAATAAAAATCAGTGCCAATGAATTGTTTACTTTGGTCACCTAAAAACCTAAAGTAGACTGATCTGATGCAATATATGTTTGCATTTTGATCCTGAACTTTATTTGTTAGTAGATGAATAGCTCTATAAGTTAGTTATAGTTCAACAAAATGTTACTGCTTATTTGTTGTGAACATTGAATTTTACTGAAAACTGAAAAATATTTTGTATATAAAGAAAAATCCACAATCCATAATTTGCCTCCTTTATGACAACTAGACAAGGTTCGAGATTTTGACGCTTGCGATGGATATCCAAACGCTACTGTTTTCATTTGAACTCACTGACACTTTCCACATGCTACTAAGACTATTGTTTGTTGTTTGTAGTTAAGCACACAGCTACACAATGGGCTATCTATGCTGGGCCCACCACGAGTATCGAAACCCTGTTTCTAGCGTTATAAGTCTGTAGATGTAACGCTTGTCGCTGGTGGAGATGGCTACTGAGACTAATAGCAATTATATTTGTTTTATGTGTTTGGTTTTTACAGTTTCCAACTTCTACGCCTAATTTGACAACTTAACCCTGCATTAGTCTTTCAGGGTCTTCACGGACCCCAAATATTTTGTAAACATCGGCGCCGACAGATGGAAGCACGTACGTATTTGTTGTTCTCAGACCTCGACCTCCACACCAAAGAACCATAATGAATTATGACTATGAAATTAACTAACAAAAATAAAGGGTGCAAACTTTTGTACATATTGGAACAGGGTCAATAGTCAAGTGGACTAAGAAGAAACAACAGGATAGGGTTACGGTTAATCTAATTAAAAGTAAAAAGTGAAAGAAGAAAGCTAAAGAAACACGAATACAAATTAATTTGTTTGTTTTGTTGAATTTCGTACAAAGCTACTCAATGATTATCTGCGCTAGCCCTAATTTAGAAGGGTAAACTGGTAATAAGAAAAAACATAGTAAATGGAACAAATTGTCAGAGGTTTGGACATTAGACAAACTATTTCCGACGCATTCGTGCATCCTCTTCAGTCTAACGTTGTCTTCACATTGTAACTCGAGCGCCTTAACCACCAGTCCGTGCCAGGCCGAAGACAAACCACAAACAGACTAGAATGAGTCCAGTTTTCTTATCAACTGGTGAGCGCTCAAAACTTTGAGAGTGCTGCTAAGCCTATCTTAATAGTAAATAGCTATTGTAATATTACATTGATTAATTGATCAAATAGTAAATGGTAATTGTAGTATACCAACTATTGATTAATTACATGTGTACACATTAATGAAAGACTAATAAGGCAAATGTTATTAATCAACCTAGTTAGTAATAATTGTTTTAATACATGTCTACTTTGATCAGTAGGTCATCTGCAATGCATATTTAGTTTTGAATGACAATGCCAGTAAGTGTAACTATGAAACTTTGAATTGAACCAAATCACAAATGCTTCTAAATATTTGAGCATTCACCAATTAACAAGAAAACGAACTGGCAAGGCAAGGCAAGGTAGTTAGGTCTGGGGGTCGCAGTTTCGAATCCCGTTTCCAACATGCTCACACTTTCGATCGTGGGGATGCCATAATGTGACGGTCAATCCCACTGTTTGTTGGTAAAAAGTAACTCAAGTAACTCTAGTCTATCATTTCAAAATGATGGCCACCTAGCGCAGATAGCCCTCGAATAGCTTTGCGAGAACTTCAACAAACAAACAAGCGATAAGAAAACTGGTTACCTATTGATCTGTTTTTAGTTTGTTTTCGAGCTTCACCCGCTTCCTGTTTTCATTCTCTTCTTTGAACTTAACCCTTTATTTTTGTCTCTTTCTGTCCTGTTCTAGCTTTATTTTATGTTCTTTTCTCTTCGCCTTCATCAGGAGCGCAGGATGGCCCTGTGGTAGAGTTTTGGATTTCGGAGGTGAAAAGACAGGTTTAAATCCGTGCGATACCTCAAAATATTCCGTCCACTTTAAATTCTGGGTGCGTTACAAAAGTTATAGTCAACCTCATAGCATGGATAGTGAGTTATTGAACACTGTTGACTGGCTGTCTTTTCTCTGGTCAATAGTTCATATTTAGGAAAAGTGGCATAAAGCCTTAGTAGCTGTGCTATAAATACGAAAATACAATATGCTTTCATCAACAGTAGTTTGTTACGGTTTGAAGATAGGGCTTAAATACCACATGATGAATATGTGCAGACCTGTCGTTGCAGGGTGGTTAGGGCGCTCGACTCGCAAGCTGCGAGTTACGTGATGAAAACCTATTGCAGAACGTGCTCGCTTTTTCAATTGCGGTGGCGTTATAATGTGACGATCAATCCCACTAATCATTGGTAAAGAACAGCACGAGAGTTGATCGTGGAATGTATTGACTAACGGCTTTCCTTCTGGTCTCTTACTTCAAAATCAGGGATAACTACCGCAGATAGCCCTCGAGTAGGTTGGCGCGAAATTGAACAACACTTAACGAATATATGTGCCAGACTCTCTGCTCAACAGATTTAAAATTTGGGTAAAAATATTTTGGAAGAATGTATTTTTATAATTAATATTCATGTAGCTTAAGCGATTTAGCTCATTAAAATACAGCTTTCCACTCGCTGTTAACAATTAAAACCTGATCATACACTATAACATACCCCTTTAAAGGATCTATTGAAATTAACCCTGAACTTAAAACTAACAATCCAGTTGACGTCAGTCTACCCTAATGTTACTTGTTGGTGAAACTTTAACTAAAAACAACAGGTTTAGAATTTGGGTAAAAATATTTTGGAAGAATGTATTTTTATAATCAATATTCATGTAGCTTAAGCGATTTGGCTCATTAAAATACAGCTTTCTACTCGCTGTTAACAACTAAAACCTGATCATACGCTATACCATACCCCTTTAAAGGATCTATTGAAATTAGCCTGAACTTAAAGCTAACAATCCAGTTGACGTCAGTCTACCCTAATGTTACTTGTTGGTGAAACTTTAACTAAATAACAACAACAAAAAAAAAAAAACAACGCGAAACTATTCAATCTTTATTTACAGTAAACCGAAATTTAAGTGAGTAGAGTATACCTTAATCACAAAATGTTATGGCTGAAAAATGTTCATCTGTCTTTTTATGTTGTTCATTCTAATAATGTAAGTGTATGTGTGCACTTACGTTTGCCATAGCGGTTTGTGGAATAATAAAACGCCTAGAAGCTTGAGGTTAACATTACCGTCACTAGATGGGGCAATAGCCTTATACTTGTTCAATTTGTTTGTTTGGTTTAGCAAAGCCATATTGGGCTATCTACTGTGTCCGCCGTGGAGAAACAAACCCAGAATATTAGCTTTGTAAGTCCGTAGACTTACCGCTGTCCTATCGGAAGACTACTTAATCAAAGAAATATATTCTGAATATTATATTTTGCTTGTTGTTAAGTACAAAGCTACATAATGGGCTATCGGTGATCTTAAATACAGCTGTTGAATAAAAAATATATTAATCAACTAGACGCTAATATTCCATGCAAAAAACCACTTCACAAAAGTGGTAATGTTTATGATTTCTTTATTTAAAATTGATATTTAGTAAACAAATGAATATTTAAAAGTAAATCACAATATTTATATCAACGTAATTGTTTCAATGAACGACAACAGTAAAAAAAAAATATGATTTTTTCAGAGTGCAATTACGTAAACTTGATGATTGTTTTAATTTTTTCCTGCAATTGGTTTTGTCTTTGTACTTTCGTAACTGATTGAGTTTTTATTAAATTCATTCTTTTGTTGTGAGCATTTATTAAGGTTGCTTTTAAAATGCACTATTTCTGCTCATATCTTTCTTTAATTTCTAATGTAAAAAAAATTAAATGTTGCTGTTTTCTTGATTTTTCACTGTCGTAGAATTTTGGCCTAAAGAACCGGATCGTGGCCAATATTGTTATAAGATTATTGAAACATCTTAAAGTATTTTCTCCGATAACGTGGCTTTTAACGCTGTTTTAATTATTTTAAAATGAAAGTTTTTAATTGGACGGGAAAAGATTTTCATTTTGTATTCACGTTAGTGAATTCATTTCAGAGTCATTATAAAATTAATTAATTATCTTATAAAAAAGACACTTAAGCCTTTTCTTTAGATGAAAGTTTGGAAAATATACCAAACTTTTACTTCTGTAATTGCTTAGTGATATGTATTCACCCTGGCTCTAATTTTTGTGCTAGTTTCTCTCTTATTTGTTTTATTTAGAATAAAACTTTGGTTGATCATTGGCATATAGAGATTTACTTACTCTTATTGAGGAAGCGAAAAGTGCCTCGAAAGCCTGTGTTATTTTCATGACGCCAGTCTGTGTGAAATTCGAAGATCAAAGCGCTCCCTGAGGAGTAGTGAGTCTGTTGAATATCGGATAGTTTACCACAGAGGAACGTATTGTGGCTGGTGTTCTGGTTTACTAGCGGTTCCTTTAAGTGCAAGTATAATTTCACATAGTCTCCATATTTACATCTGTGATAAAAAAACAGCATTTGAATTAGATCTTCCTAGTGGTCTAATAAACAGTTTCTTAAAACACACTTCTAAACAATTATATTACTAAATTACTTAGATGTTTTACCTTTTACTACCCAGTCTTCACTTGTAGAAATAACTTGCGACAATACAGTTGAAACTGAAAGATAAAGTAAAAAACAAAAACAAAATACTAACGGGGTCAAGAAAACATTCCTATTAAAAAAAATTGGGCATATACTTGTTTATAGTATTTTTAGATAACAATGATCTAATTTAATCTAAAACATTCACGTCTGCATAAGACGTGTAAAAAAAGACACACCATCAAAGAGAAGTCAACTCTGATCGAAAATGTCCATTCTTGACTAACTGTTATGGTAGAGTTTGTTTGTTTGAAGTTAAGCACAAAGCTGCACAATGGGTTATCTATTCTTTGCGGGTGTCTAAACCAGGTTTCTAGCGTTATAAGTCCGCAGACATACCGCTGTTCCACTGGGGGCTAACAGTTATGTCTTTGATTTTATTGTAGAAACTTTCATAAATATCCTACATATTTTACGGTTATGGTTGATAAGAACGAGCAGATAAGTCGTAGCCGCAATATCCGAGTGAATTCGGGAGTTAGCCGTTGGGCAGTGGTTAAATTGAGGGTTGCTAAGAAGCTCGCTAAGGAGAACCTCCTCAACTATATGAAACAAGGAGCTAAGGGGAGCTAAAACAATATTATAGAATAATTGAAATATTGTGGATGAGCTTACAATGAATACCATACGTTTGTGCGCGAACAACTGGTCTTCACTGAAGAAGGTTGAATCCAGCAGCAGTTATATGGATCTGGAAGCGGTGGGCGTAGCGAACCTTTTATTTTGTCACTCAATTTCGTTAAAGGTCGTACAACTTTGGTTGACAAAATTAATTTTGTCTTTTTCTGCTCTAATATACAGTACATACTTAATAAAATGTTGTACTGGATAGTTGATATTGTTAAACTTTCCTGATAGGAAAGACTTAGTGGATTACACACTACCTTCCCTCCCCCTCCCCCCAAGAGCTCCAAATTTTCATTTTATATACTACTGTCAGGTGAAGTAACAGAAAAAAATGGAACGTCACGAAGAAGGAGTAATAGAGTTCAATATGTTGAAACAAAATTAAAATTCACAAGAGAATTGGCTGGAGAGCATTAACTTCACAAAACTACATAAACAAATTTTATTTACACTGAATTATAAATAAAAGTTCCATTCTGCTCTAGTCCTTGGTCAACTTAAACATCTAGTAACACAATTGCCTCACTTGTAAACCAAGCACAACTCTTACGATTAACATACATAAAACAGAGAAGCTCTTCATATTGATTTTTAAGAATCTTAAACTGTACTGCACTTTAAACTGAGTTTCTACAGAGAGTTACTTTTACTTTAAAATAATGGTGTGCATATGGTAGTATAGAAACTCGTCGCTGCAAATGTGAACTCTGGTGCCACATGAGTCACAAGTAGTATATATATATTTGTTTCAATGCGAATTTCTGGCGATTTCACAGAGCAATGCTGCCAAAGGTATAGATATAGCTGGAGAAACACAAGTCACAGCCTTGTAAGAAGATATTTACTCCTTATATAATGATACTGTTAAATAATGTAGATGCAAAGGACGCCAATTTAAAAAAAACAAACAAAAAAAAACTTTCAATGTTTTCCATGAAAGCAGAAAAACTCATACAGCAGAGCATTTAGAATATCAACAAGTTACAAAATTACATCTCAAGCAAAACTACAGCTCATGGGTTGTGCATGTTCTCAGGTAGAAATGACGCTATTGTAATTTAAATATAGCTATTGTGCTCTCGCAACCTTACTGATAATTTCTTCAGAAATCCATACCATTTGGATTTTTTCAGATCTTGACCAAGTTAACTTTCTGAATAAGAACAGCACTTTCTTGTGGCCTGTGGTGTCATTCAATTTAATTCGTTTTGTTATTTAATGAAAATAATCGCTAACTTTGTTTTTACATTGTATCCAGACTCTTTCTTCAACTCAGTCAAAGTAAGATAATTCAAATTTACCCATGCGTAACATTTCCTGACATTCCTCTTGTTCTTATGGTTAATATTTTTATCTAATTGGGAAAAGGCTATATCTAAAAGTACCATAGAGTAAGATAGTAGAGTGAAGGTTTTATGTTGTGACCACAGGATTTATTTTTGAAGATTTTTTTATATTTTCTCAATGAATGCATTTTACTGTGTGTGCTTTTCTTAGGTGATTCATTCGAAAATAAATAATAACATTTTTCACGAATCCAAGGAATTGTAATTAAGAGGAATAGTCTTCACCCAGAGTAGCTAGCTAAGAAAGTAGTTGGGTCTCGTAAAGGTCCTCTTCTGTCTTCATGGAAAAGC